TCCTTCATTGTATCTTCAGCACCTAGCACAGCACCCAGCACACAGGACATATTTGTTGACCGAATGCATATCTCTGTCATCACACTCACTCCATGGTGTTGAGATATGTGTGTTTCCCCTCCCCTAGACAGTGAGATCCTTGAAGGCAGCTGCCTTATCTTACTCCTTTTCATATTTCCATACCTAGCCTAATACCTGCCTTATATAAGGGAACAGAGAATAAATGAATAATAAAGAACAGCCTTTACAGCCTCTAAAATGTTCATGGATCATCTCCCCACATCTCATTCATTAAAAAGATGCCTTTCCTTCTATTCTCACCTTTTTAACATACATATTTTCAAACATAAACAAAATATGAAAAAAACAGTACTATGAGCATTCATAGACCCATCATCTAGATTTAACACTTAATATTTTGCCGTATTTAGTGAATGGATATATAATGTATGTGTTTTCCCCCGAACCATTTGAGGTATGTTTTACACAAGATTATACCTTAAATACTTCATTTTGTAACTCCTAATAATGACATTCCCTATAAAGCCCTAACACTATTATTGCAACTGAGAAAATTACCTATCATTCCCTAATATAATCCTGAAGATAAGCTAATCGCCAAGTTCCACATTCAGGATTCCCCAGATTGTTCCACAATTGTCTTTTACAGCTGTTTCTTTTTTCCCCTCAAACCAGAATATGGTCTGGGTTGAGGCGTTCGCTTCTTATGTCTCTAGAATCTATTTATCTAGAAATTTCCACCATTTTTTTTCCCTAATGCTGTGCTATTTTGGACAGAAGAGGCCAGATATCTTGTTGAATGTCTCACATTTTGGATTAGTCTGGTAATATTCTCATGGTCTTATTTTACTTGCTCCTTTGTACCATGTGCTTCTTATAAACTGGAAGTTAGGGCTAAGATTTTGATTTGATTCTGTTTAAACATTTTGGCAAGAATGCCTCATACTCTGTGCCTGGAACTTTATGTTGCATCACCTCAGGAGCCATCTCACCTTTAGTGATGCTAAATTTGACTATTCGATTAAGGAGATTTCTCCATCGTACAGGTTGTCTTTACCTTTGCAGTTAACAAGTTATTTGTGGGCTTCTCATCCTGGGTTCTGTTAAGTTGATGTATCACATGTATTGATTTGCATATGTAGATCCATGCATGCATCCCAGGGATAGATCTCACCTGAACATGGTGAATGATCCTTTTAAGATGCTGTTGAATTCAGTTTGCTAACATTATGCTGAGGATTTTTGCATCTATGTTCATCAGGGATATTGGTCCATAGTTTTCTTTTCCTTGTCTGGCTTTAGTATTGGGGTTATGCTGGCCTTTTGAAATGAGTTTGGAAGCATTCCCTCCTCTTCAAAGTTTTAGAAGAGTTTGAGAAGTATTGGTATTAGTTGTTCTTTAAATGTTTGGTGAAATTCAGCAATGAAGCCATCAGGCCTTGAGCTTTTCTTTGGTAGGAGATTTTTGATTCCTGATTCAATCTCCTTACTTGTTATTGGTCTGTTCAGATTTTCTGTCTCTTCATAATTTAGTCTTGGTAGGTTGCATGTTTCTAGGAATTTGTGCATTTCTTCTAAGTTATCCATTCCTCTTGCAATATTCTTTCCCCAGTGACTTTTTACCTAATTATTTTAGCATCTATTGATGATCCTTACCTAATTTGGTTATTTCATCGGGGATTGAAAATTGAGGATTTTCTAATTTTCACATTTTTTTGTACACTTATTAGCTAGCATTGCTCTATTTTTTTTTAAAGAGTTTTGTCTCATCATCTGGATTGAACAAAAGTTTCTCCTAAAGAGGCAAAAAAATGCCTAATTATTTGCCTTTAATTACAGTTTTCAAAGAGATGATTTGATATAATAGTTACACTAAATAATTTAAATGAGGGTTCTTCCTCAAGCTCATACTCTCCCTCTCTCTCCAATTCATGGATTTGTATTTATTCACTTTTTAATAATTAGTCACAGTCATTTCTGGTGCTCAAAATGCCTATATTGCAGCTAGCAGACCCCCTTGAAGCTGGCCTCCTTGTGTCTTTTTTAGCATGTCCATTAGTCTTTAAGCACTTCCTTGCTTTCTGATACTAGATATTCCAGGCATAATTTGTACTTTTCCTACTCCAGTCATGGAATTGAGCCATTTCCACAGGAATCTCTGGTTTTTTCAAATACTAGTAAGAAAGTATTTAGAAACCAAGACCTGGAATTAAGAAAGCTAACTTCTGCCAGGGTATTGTTGCTTTCAGAGCCTTTCAGTGGACAGAACTAAGATAGATATATATATAATTTTTTTTTTTTTTGAGACAGAGTCTTGCTCTTGTCGTCCAGGCTGGAGTGCAATGGCCCAATCTTGGCTTACTGCAACCTCCACCTCCTGGGTTCAAGCAATTCTCCTGCCTCAGCCTCCTGAGTAGCTGGGATTACAGGCACCCGCCACCATGCCTGGCTAATTTTTGTATTTTTAGTCGAGATGGGGTTTCACCATGTTGGCCAGGCTAGTCTCGAACTCCTGACCTCAAGTAATCTGGCCGCCTTGGCCTCCCAGAGTGCAGGCATGAGCCACCAACCCTGGCCTCTACTTTTTTGTTAATGTCAATTTTTTGTCAGATGTGGAACTAAGTACCTTATATATGTAGTCTCTACTCCGTACTACAAATCATTATTTAGACCTGCAGAGACATCCACTAGTTGTATATCCCTTTCCCAGGCTCAAGGGCTTATGCCAGAACAGCATTGCAGAAGACAGGGTCAGAGAGGAAGTTCATGTCTCTGTAATAAATATATAAGAACCCATGGGCCACCCGAGCATAAGATGTGACCCTGCTAGCACCATCCAAAATATGGTTTGTAAAAGGGTGATGCCTTTAACAAAGTTGAGAACATACCTGTATATGTTTTTAATCTGTCTCAGTGAAGAATCTTTATCTTTTGAATCTACCCTGGTGTTTTTATATTGCATTATCAATTTGCCCTTTTTGAACCATTTCACATTCATTATCTTGTTCTAGAGGTGAGTCAAAAGAAATCTCACACAGACAGGACCTGGACCCTAATGTTTTTCAGAAATGATGTTTCTCTTTTGTGTTTGGTACCTTCCTTATTGGTGTCCACCATTTTCTTGGTCTTGGTGGTCAAAATACCACATTCCGCCATCTACAATGATAGATGATGCGTCTGAGAAATCATTCCTGGATTGAAAGTTGTGGTGAGGGTCTCATTATTCCACCATCTTAGTTTGGATATTTTCCTCCTGTCGGGTATCATTTGATTAACTGTGCAATCAGTGTAA